CATGTTGTATATACACATATAAAACAATATCTATCCATCTCTATCTATCTATCTATCTATCTATATAGATAATAAAATCTAGATATCGATATCGTTTTGTCGTCATAGACAAGCCCACGCCCGTCACACAAGCCCGGCGACAAGCCTACCCCTGCTGCCTCCTGAATCCTTCCCTACACCCTCGCTGCACCGGGCGCAGCAGCAGTTATCCCCAACATGGGTCGTGTGCGATGTAGGGTTTAGGGTTGAGAGTGCATGCGCAAAAGGGTTTAGGGTTTAGGAGTGTCTGAGCCTCCCGCCCCCGCCGAGGTATTGAGACGGTGGTATCCGAGGCTGTTGGCGAGGCGTTTCAGAGCGAATCTGGAAAATTGATGCTGTTTGTGATTCAGGATAGTTTTGAAAGGTTTCATGAACATGTTTGCCATGTATATATATATAAATATAAATAAATATATATATATATATATATATATATAGATATATATGTATATATATATATATATATTTATTCATATTTATATTTATATGTATTTATTTATTTAGTTATTTTTTTACTTCGATACCTATAGAAGTTAACAGGCGGGCATCCAGGCATGGGACGTAAGGTACAATGGAGTTTGCAACACACTTATCATCCTTCGCATTGCCAAGTGGCAATTCGGTCGCCGCTCTTCTGCGTTGCAATGTCTATACTGTCTGTTTTTGGGGGGAGTTCAGCTGATTGGGCTTCAAAGTGTGCAGCACAGCACGACCTATAGCGTGATCTGGGCAGCACGTTGACATGTGAGGGGCCTCTTCCTTTGCACATTCGAGTAACCCTAAACCCTAAGCCCTAAGCCCTAAACCCTAAACCCTAAACCCTTGCAAGGTCATGGGCACCCGGCCAGCCACTGGAGCTTGGGTATCGGTCTTTGAGGAGGCGGGCGTTGAAAGTAAGCTCGGGTCTGGGGCTTAGGGGGTTTGGGGTCTGAGGGTTTACGAAATTCCAGAATTTTTCACCCTGAACCCTAAACCCTAAACCCTAAACCTAAACCCTAAACGTCCTTAGAGGGCTGGGGGAGAATGAGGGCTAGGGGGCATGGACGAACGACCCGCAAAGTCTTCAGAGCGTGCGATTTTCAGCCCTCAAACGCTGGAACTCTAAAGCCTTGAATTCTACCCTAAACCCTAAACCCTAAACCCTAATCGCTAAACCCCAAACCCTAAACCTTAAGCTCAAGAGGTGCCCAAGAGGCCCTCAAGATTCCCAGACCCAGGGTATCAGCCGAACACCAGCATGCGATACCCGAAACGCCAGAGGGCTTAGGCCTCGTTTTGGTGCATCATTTCGGGTAATTTCCCTGAACCCTAAACCCTAAACCCTATAAACCCTAAACCCTAAACCTGGTTCACAGTCAATCGCGCTCAGATGCTCAGATTCCAGAGACAGCGCCGAGTAGTATAAACATCTCAGCCCCCAGATCTCGATATGCACATATAAGTGGAAGGGTTAGGGTTTAGGGTTTAGGGTTCAGGGTTCAGGGTTTAGGGTTTAGGGTTCAGGGGTTAGGGTTTAGGGCCCTGAGGCACCATACACCCAAGAGCAGAGCTATGCCCCTCACGCCCCGAACTCCTGGAGGACTCGGGCGGACGCTTCCGAGCCGCGAATGCAAACCATTCTCCTCAATGACGAGTTCCACCGTGCAGGGTTTAGGAAACAGGGTGTAGGGTTTCGGGTCTATTTTGCAAGAAGGGTTGAGGGTTTAGGGTAGAAAGGTTCCCTTCGGTTTCAGGGTTTAGGGCTTAGGGCACCGAATTTTTTCGAAGAACCGACATGCGAACCACTGACCATCTTATCCCTTCAAGCCCTGAACCCCAGACAGATTTTCCTGGGGTCTGAGGTAGGTTATTTCCATTAGGGATTAGAGTTTAGGGTTTAGGGTTTGGCCCCTAAAGTATTCCTGAGTGCTTTAATTAGGGTTTTAGGGTTCCTGTTTTAAGAGGGCTCTGGGGGGAGAGGGGAGGGGGGGGGCTTCTTCTTTGTGCTCAGGCAGTTTCAAGGACCCAAGCTCGCACCCGCACCGGATGTTCCCCTGAAGGGTTCCCTTGCTGAATTTGTTCCTAAAACCCTTATAAATCATTCAGGGTTACTAGATATTAAATGTAACAATAACAATATGAGGCGTATGAAACATCGTGTTTTATGACATATAAGATAGCATGCAACTTTGTACAAACCCTAAACCCTAAACCCTGAACCCTAAACCCTAAACCCTAAACCCTAAACCCGTACAAGAAGCCCCAAGTCGCAGATTTCACGTGTTCTGGGCGTAGGGCTTCGGGATCGAGTTCCCAATCCGGGCGTGCAGCTCAGGACGGAGCGCCCACGCCACGCCCTCAAGGGTTTAGGGTTTAGGGTTTAGGGTTTGGGGCTTGGGGTTTGGGGTTTGGGGTTTGGGGTTTAGGGTATCGTATGTGGAGGCTGTTGCATCCAGGGGCGCTTTGCACCGCATTTCATATGGGAAGATGCATCAAGCTAAGCTCAAACATTCCATAAGAAAGGGGCTGCCAGCACGATCTCGTTGTAACCCCTGGTGTGGCACTTCGATCTCATTGTAACCCCTGGTGTGGCACTTCAACTGCAAACTACCACATACCCATTCTACTCCTGGCTAGCCTCCAGTCCAATCCGTCGCCATGCAATTCCACTCGCGGATTTCGGGTTCAGGTCTTAGGGCTTATGCAGAAGGGCTTCTGCCACGTAGGTTGTTGAAAGCAGGATCCTTGATAGCACAACCCTCCCATAACTTTGTTCTAGCCCGTGGCCAGCCCGGCCCAAGATGCCTAAACCCTAAACCCGAAAATCCGGCTCATCCCTATACACCATGGTGCCCTAAATCCTGGACCCTGACCCCTAAACCCCTGACGCTGAAGCCTGAGCTGGGTGGCTGACAACGGTCACAGTATGTTGCCATCGCCAAAATCTTAGGTTCATAGTACAGCAGATGGCTGCCTGATCTGTAGTGCAAGCCCCAGAAACTCTTCGAAACCATTATTGAACCCGTAACCCTAAATCCTAACCTGCAACTTGGGGCTTTCTGTAGGGTTTTTGGGGTTTCGGGGTCCTTCGGCCGAGGTCGCGCAGGCTGCGCTGCTGAGCCAGCTCGAAAAGGAGGTCAAGGGAAGCAGGGCGGGGACGTTTTTGGCGGACTTGGGCCAAAACCCCTGAACCCTGCAGTCTTGCGAAAATCCCCCTAACCCTAACCTACCCCGAACCCGAAACCCCAAACCTTACAGAAACCCCAAACCCTACAGAAAGCCCCAAGCCCTGCTTGGAGCTTCATGGTACATAGCAACTGTACTAATAACCCAAGTATAAGTCCCCTAAGTCGAGTTACCTAGGCTGCAATTGGGTTATAAGTACAGTCACAATTAGTTAAGTACCATGAACCTCCAAGTGTATGCGGTGCGGGCGGCAAATCAAAAGCCACGCCCCAAGGCCGAACCGAACTTTCCGCCCAAAAACCCTCATCACAGAGCCCTTCATGTTATATTCTGCTCTTCCACAAGAGAGGGTGTGTAGGGTTCAGGATGTAGGATTTGGGGGCCCCGGGCGGGGGGGGGGGGGGGGGTTAGCGGGTGGTTAAGGCCCTCAATTCCTGTGATTTAAGAAACTCTGCCGGCTGGTTTTGAGTACATTCCCAGGAGGGACCCTTTTCAGGGACCTGGGGGCTACATTGGGGACACATAGGGCCTATATCAGGAATATCTAGAGTTTAAAAAGGGGAAGACTAGCTTAAGGGTCCCTTCCACACCCAAAAACCCTAAACCCCCAAACGCTAAACCTTACACACCCCAAAACGCCCTCAAGTGGGACAGCGCACGGACACGCCAGGAGGCGAGCCTGCGCGAGGAGGTGGAGGAGATTTCAGCTAAGCCCTCGCCCGAAAAACCCTAAACCCTAAACCCTAAACCGCGAACAAACCCAAGTTTGCATCCAGCTTGGTGTGGGACTTGGTGTGCAGGGTTTGGGGCTTAGGGTTTCGGGTTTAGGGTTTGGGGCTTAGGGCTTCAGGCGCCGAAGGACAAGAGTTTGGGTCCAAGAAAGGGGGGGGCCCTTGGAAACCTGATGCTTCGTGGTTTGGGGTTTAGGGTTTAGGGTTTAGGGTTTAGGGTTTAGGGTTTAGGGTTTCGGGCCTGAGACGAAGCCATTTTTGTTACGAAGTTCAAGCATTTTGGCCCCCTCTGCTTGTCCTAGGAACCATTCCATCAGGAGCCTGAAGGTTTGAATCAGGGGAAAACTGGGCTTATGGCAGAGAGAGTTCCTGCAACAGGACGTATACTTGGAGGTTTCATGGTACTTAGTAGCGACCAATTGCTGTACTTCTAGCCCAACTATAAGTCCCCGAAGTCGAGTTACCTAGGCTATATAGCTGGGTCAATTCGTTACTTAGGACCATGAACCTCCAAGTAGGGTTCGTAGCACTTAGAGAGTGCACGTGGGGCACCCAAGCCTTACAGGGTTTCAGGATCGTGGGAGCCTGCGCCAGCCTGGATTCAAGGTTCAAGCCTAGATGGTAAGTTCTAGTTCTACTAATTGCTTAAGAACCCCGATAAAGTAGAAGGTATTCTTCCTTATGAAGGGTAAGGTTCTTAAGCAAAGAGTAGAGTTGGGTACCCTGAATGTTCGGGCCCGTATTACAAGAGTAACCCCACAGGGACCACAAGCTAGAGAAGCTGCCATATTAAAGGATGCCACTGGCTCAGCACTGAGCACGGTATGTGGGTTCAGGGCGAGTTTCACGTACACGGCCTCATGTCATGCTCTGGAGAGCACATTCCCATACCATGGAGCTACCCCCCCCCGCCCCGCCCCGCCCCCCGGGAAAAAAAGGAGCTCTGGGAAAAGCAAACCCCAAAACCCTAAACCCACCCTAAACCCCAAACCCTAAACCCTAAACCCTAAACCCCAACCATTCCCAGACCTTAAGCTCCAGATGGAGAGCTTGTGAAGCTTTGCAATGCGCGCGCGGAGCGCCTGCGCTGCGAAACCTCTCCTACGGGTCGTTGCTCTTTGTCTCGCCCTGCAGGCGCCACTGTAGGGTAAAGGGTCTAGGGTTTAGGGTTTAGGGTTTAGGGTGTACGTAGGGTACAGGGCGAAAAGGTTGAAAGAGCAACCTACGTACCTTGACATGACAAGGCCAAGATACACGATGATTCCGGCATCTCCCGTTTTGAGATGTTTCTCGGGATCTATGAGTTACTCTAAGTAGGACTTCTGATTCTTTGTTCAGACAAAAGGTGAGCAGGCAGGTATCGATGACAACTCGTTACCACCCCGGTCTGCTTCAGAGCTGTAGTCTTGTTCCCTAAACCCTAAACCCTAAACCCTAAACCCTAGACCCTAGACCCTAGACCCTATAGGACCCTCAAACCTAACCTCAAATAGCAAGGAGCCCCTTCAATGGGGTGGTCGCGGCGTAGTCCCTCATGCTCGACAAAGCAGGATTAGTCTGCTTGGCGGGTGGCCAAACAAACCCCAAACCCCAAACCCTAAACTCCATAAACCCTCTAAACCGTAAACGGCCGTAAACCCCCCCTAAGCCCTAAGCCCTAAACCACCGTAAACCCCCCTAAACCCAAAACCCAAAACCCAAAACCCAAAACCCTAAACCCTAAACCCTAAACCCTAAACCCTAAACCCTAAACCCTAAACCCTAAACCCTAAACCCTAAACCCTAAACCCTAAGCTGGCGGAGGCATCGCTTGGCTTCCTGGCTTCGAGGAAGCTTCGGCTCAACCACCAGCGGGCACACAGGTGCCAGATCTTGGGATGTTCAAAAGAGGCATCTAGGGTTTAGGGTTTAGGGTTTAGGGGTTATAGGGGTTATGTATGGGGTTTATAGGGTTTATAGAGCTTTTTGGATTTATAGGGTTCAGTAGGGGATTTATGGGGTTAGAAGGGTAGACTGTATTGGAGTTATAAGGCTTGTAGGAGGGCTTCCCATTAAGGCTTTAGAGTTGTCATTAGGGCTCAGGGTGTTTTGCCTTTTGGAGGACTGTTAGGCTCCCAGGCGCAAATCCTTGGACCCTCAACCGATGCACAGCCAAGAATTTGATTGGATGCTGGGTTTAGGTCTTTAGGGTGTTAGCGGGTTAAGGTTCCGGGTTTAGGGTTTCCAGCCTTTTGGGGCTTAGAGTTAGTTCTCAGGGTCCTTGAAGTGTGGGAGATGAGCGAGAGAGAGTAAGAGGGAGGCACGCCCTAAACCCAAAACCCTCAACTCATGACGAAGGCCTTGGAATATTCGAGCCTCAGGGTTTACGCTGAGGTGTCGCCTGTCAGCTGGATCGGTTGAGGACGTTGTTGACGTGGCTCCTCTCTTTCACAGGAGCTGCGGGGAGGGACTTCCCCCAAAGTCCTAAAAACCCTAAGCCCTACAAACCCTGAACTTCAAAACCCTGGAAACCCTAAAGCCCTAAAGCCCTAGGGGTTTAGGGCTTAGGGTTTACAGGAGATGGGGCAGGGGAGGGGTTTCCTAACTTACCCTTCTTGTGGAAGTTGTCGGCTCTCCGTCCCGGGGCTTTAAACCCTAAACCCTAAACCCCAAACCCCAAACCCCAAACCCTAAACCCTAAACCCTGAACCCTGAACCCCTGAACCCTAAACCCCAAACCCGAAGAGCCTAAACTAAACCCTCAGTTCTATTGAGAAATCGAGTGGAAGCCCCGCAGGATCGTAGCAGCCTGGCCACAGAGCACCCTGGTGCAGGCCAGGGCTCTTCCTAACGTAAAACCCCTCTGGGTTTGGGGCCCAGGTCTTGGTGCCCTAAACCCTAAACCCTAAACCCTAAACCCTGAACCCTGAACCCTGAACCCTGAACCCTGAACCCTGAACCCTGAACCCTGAACCCTCAACCCTCAACCCTCAACCCTGAACCCTGAACCCCGAACCCCGAACCCTGAACCCTGTCCGACTTTGGGCCTTGTAACCCCTTAGACAAGTTCGAGGCTCTAGCCCAGGAGCCCGGTTCAAAACCTTCTGGCCTCATAAGGGTTCACGGATTTAGTAAAAAAGGGTTCGCGGGTTTAGGGTTTGGGGTTTAGGGTTTAGGGTTTAGGGTTTAGGGTTCACAGGTTGCCAGAACCCCGGGAGGATCCTAAAATCGATGTCGCGTGCATGCAAGTAGCTCTGACAAGTTGACATGCTCGTTGATTCGGCGCAGCCAGACGACTTGAGATGCGGAGTGGTGAAAGTGTGGTTGGTGTTGTGTTTCTTGGTCCTACTTTCCAGACTCCTGGGAGGATCCATGACAAAGTAGATCCCCTTAAAGGTTCCTAAGAATCACCCAAGATCAGTATAGTGTACTATTTGGGGATCTGTTTTTTTTTTGGATCCTCCCAGGGGTCTGGGTTGTTGGCTGGGTTGAGCATTGGGACAACTGAACCCGGCTCCGTGCGAAACGCCGTGTGGCAAGGGACATTGTCTTGAAACCCTAAACCCTCAACCCCAAACCCTAAACCCTAAACCCTAACCTCGAAACCCTAAACCCTAAACCCTAAACCCTAAACCCTAAACCCTAAACCCTAAACCCTAAACCCTATAAACCCTACACCCCAAACCCTCATTGTTTTGAATGTTCGGCGTGTTGGCGCCTTGATTGTCTTTTCTTCGGTGGGTCCTCGACCCGTCCCTGCCGAGGCATGCGGGCAACAAAAAGCATAGCCTTAAAACTCCCTAAACCGAAATGCTAGACTAAACCCTAGGCTCTAAATCTTGAACCCGAATTCCTGCATGAACCCTAGAAACCCCCAAATAAACCCACGTCAACCCGAAAAACCCTTAACCCTATAATCCACCCAACGCCAGATCGGGGCCTGCGATGGCGATTTCGGCGACGAGGCCACTTACTTCTCCAATTGCTGAACTTTAAACTTTTTGGGTTTCCTTTTTTTGTTTAAAGTTCACCCAAATCAGGGTTTAGGGTTTCGGGTTTAAGGTTTAGGGTTTAGGGTCTAGGGGTAGGAAGAATAACTCCCTAAACCCTAAACCCTAAATTCCCTTGTTTTTTTGGAGAAATTAAGGCCAGCTCCAACGACCCGGTCCAGCGGCTGCCCCTTGGGGTTCGTCTTGACCGGGTTCGAAGTTGAAGGGTTTAGGGTTTAGGGTTTAGGGTTTAGGGCTTAGGGTTTAGGGTTTAGGGATTAGGGTTTAGGGTTTAGGGCTGAGGCTTCGGGAGTTGAAGTTCTCAGGGCGGCTCAGGGGTTCAAGGGTTTTTGGGTTCTCTTGGAGTGGCGAAGCCCGTCTGAGAGTCGTCTCACTCTGAGTTGCAGCTTGGGGTTTTGGGATTTTGGGGTTTTGGGGTTTAGGGTTTAGGGATTGCGGGGTTTTGGGTTTAGGGATTGCATCATTTAGAACTTAGGCTTTCAGTTCGTTCTCTAGGGCGGTCAGGTTGAAGGGTAGTTTTACTACTATAGCAGGAGGCTTCAGGCTTTATAGGGCTATTCCGGTTTTGCGTTTCTGGTTTAGGGCTTAAGGAGTTTGGGATCTTGCCATTCCTTGGCAGTTTAGGGTCCCTGGCATCCGAGCCAGCATCAAAATGAAGGTGTGCCGCAAGCTTCGAGGACGTGCTGTGTTGTGCCTTCTGGGGCCATCGAGCCTAGCCTTAAACCTTAGGCCCTTAACCCAGTATTCGGAAGCAAGAGAGCCTCACAAGCATCTTCGCTACGGCAGTTTAGGCTTCAGGGTCGAGCACATTATTTACATCTCTCCCACCCTTCCCAACACCCCAGATGCTATTCACCCTAAACCCTCAACCCTCAACCCTCAACCCTCAACCCTCAACCCTCAACCCTCAACCCTAAACCCTAAACCCTAAACCCTAAACCCTAAACCCTAACCTTAGACCCTAAGCTGCACCTCAGAAAGATGGCAAACCCCCAAGGCTGTTGCAGCAGCCCGCGATGCGTGCCCTGCTCGTGGAGGTCATATGGTAAGTTCTCATAAGGATGGGGTACCCTAAATACTAGGGCCGCCTTATAATAGTAACCCCAGAGGGGCCATAATATACAGGAGCGAACGTAGTGCAATCGTGTGAAACAGTCTTGTTTGGTGACGTGACGCTCCTTGATGCACAGGGTTCGGGAATGTACCCTGAATGTGTTTGATGTTCCCAAAAAAACCCACATTACGACATGTCGCGGGAATGGGCCTCTTTTTGGACTGCATGCAGTTTGGCGACACCCTAACCCCTAAACCCTAAACCCTAAACCCTAAACCCTAAACCCTAAACCCTAAACCCTAAACCCTAAACCCTAAAACCTAAACGATTCGCCCCAGCTGTGCAGGAGTGAAAAAAAACCTAAACCTTTAACCCTAGGGTTTCGTGGGTGTAATCATCACCCCACTGCCAGGCCAATCCGGCCGTGTTTGCGACCCTGCTCAGCAAGGTGAAGCCAGAGCAGAGTTCTACAAAAGGGGCCTTAATAATTCGTATAAGGGTTTAGGGTTTAAGGTTTAGGGTTTAGGGCTTAGGGTTTTCCAGGTCATTATAGTGTAAATATGCAGGGACCATGAGGGAATACGATCAGTATTTATCTCGCGCCCTATAGTATGCTTTCGAATAGCTACTTAAATTTTCTTTTGGCTTTACTAACTAGTTAAGAAAAAGGGCACCAAGTATCCCCTTGCTAAGCCACTCTTGGCGCGGGCCCTGGCCTCAGGTTTAGGACTCACGGTGGCTGGTAATAGGAACCCTATGAATCCTAAACCCTTATACCCCAAAACACACCCCTTATACCTATGCCCCCCTTATATATAGCCCCCTTATACCTAAACCCCCAATGTGCCGCCCTTGTATCCCTCTTAAACCTATACCCTACACCCTAAACCCCAAATCCTTACACCCCCGCTTGTAACGCTCCCTCAAGGTGGAACAACGCTTCCCCGGTGGCCGCGTGACGGCAGTGAACGTGGCGCGGCTGCTTTCAAAGCCTCTGGTGACCCCCGGCGTCATCAAGAAGAGCCGCCTAAACCCTGCCTAAACCCTAAACCCTAAACCCAAAAAGAAACCCTAAACCCCAACCCTAAACCCTTGTCAGTCCCTATAACATGATCCTGCAAACTACCCGGACATTTCCGAAGCACCCTGTTCAGATCGGCCACGCTAACCCTACCCCCGACTTTTACCCCTTCCAACTCCATGGGTCCCTCCAGTGGTTTTGTGGGGGTCTACTTGGAGGCTCAGGGTACTTAGAACCCAAATTATATGGCTGCACTTTTCGGACCCCTGAGTCCTCTAGGTAGGTTTTACGTCGACTTAATATCTAAACACGAAACCCTGAACCCTAAGCCCTAAACCTTGGAATTGAGATTCTAAGTACCCATGAACCTCCAAGTAGAGGCTGCTCCGGCACGCTTTCCTCCATGAGATCCTGAACCCTAAGCGTTAAAGCCCTAAACCCTAATCCCTAAACCCCAAACCCTAAACCCCCAACCCTAAGCCAACCTGAGCCCGTTGAACCCTAAACCCCAAACCCGAATCCCCAAACCCTAAACCCGAAAACCCCAAGCCCTAACCCCAAACCCTAAACTCCAAACCCCAAACCCTGTACCGTCACAGCCCTAAACCCCTAAACCCTAAACCCTAAACCCTAAACCCTAAACCCTAAACCCTAAACCCTAAACCCTGGACTGCAAGGTAGCTGTAACCAACGGCAGCTGCCGCGAAGCTCCATTCTTCGTTGTCTCGCCAAAGTTTGCAGAGGACGGAGACTTGAGCGGCTTCGCGACCCTGTCAACCCTATCAACCCGAGCCCTAAACCCTAAACCCTAAACCCTAAACCCTAAACCCTAGCCCTAAACCCTAAACCCAGAAACCCTAAACCTTAAACCCTAAAAACCAAAACCGCCTAAGCTCGGGACCCTATAAACCCTATAAACCCGAAACTCATAAACCCTAAAGCCCCAACCCTGAAACCCAAAACCGCCTAAAGCTCCGGACCCTAGACCCTAAACCCCAAAGCCCCGAAGCCCGAATCCCCCTGAGCTCCTTTTCTTTGTTGATGTGGGGGTTCTGCAATACTAAGGGACCCCTGATATAGACCCCCAAATAGTAGGATCCCCTTATAAACCCCCATGTAGATCTACGCTGTTTGAGGATTTGCTTGCTGATTCCGTGCACGGAACTTGTAGCTGAGTGGAGAAGCCACAGGTGAGTGAGGCAGCCGTTCCGTTGAAGCTAAACGTTCAAGCTCTAACACATGGAGGACATACCAAACCCTCCATTTTAAACCGGGGCCTTCATAAACCTTAAACCCTAAACCCTAAACCCTAAACCCTAAACCCTAAACCCTAAACCCAGCGGTTCACGCAAGCTCCGGGACTAGGACGTCGTCTTGCCACCCTCCACGCTTGGCTTGCTGCAACAGAAACGTGCCCCACCTTGGGCCAAATGAGCGTCACAAGAGCTCAGGGGATGTGTACGCTATACATCTACATAGTTCAGGTATCAGAGGGGTTTAGGGCTTATCAGCGTTTAGTACTACATAGAATTTGGTTGACGGTCCCTATGTTTGGCGTACTTGAAGACTCCAAGACGGAGATATCCAGCACAACCCGGAAACCCAGCATATACCATGTTGGGATCTGACAGGACTTCTACTCAAGTTCTACAGTTCCTATCGCCCCCTTAGGACCTGAGGATGTATTTTGTATGTTTTTTTTTGCTAAAAAGCCCAAGGGAATATGAAAAAAGGGTTTGTTATTTGGTTCTAAGGGGAGTTTTGGATCCTACAGGTCTGAACCCTGAACCCTGGGCACTAGCAAATTTGCCGAGCATCTCACCCAACATCTTTCAACTCTACAGACCTCTACCTCTTAAACCCTCAACCTTGGGCCGTTCCCCCTTACACTAGCAGTCCTTAGTTGGTATTATAGTACCCTCTAGTATATTCCCCTTTTCAGGATTCTTAGTATATAGAAGGTGGAACTGGAACGTCCCAACCTAAACCCTTGCAGGACTTCCCGAGGAAGGCTTTTCACTGGGCCTGCTCCTGGGCGCCATATCCTCTGAGACTAGGGCACCTCAGTTCTCGGCCTTCAAAAGACCCTGGAACCCTAAACCCATTAAGCCCTTCATCCCTTCAAGCCAGTATTCAAACACCCCTGACATAAGCAAAGACCTTGGCCCCAAGAGCACATATCCCGAAGCCGCCATGTTCAAAACCTCAGGGTTTAGGGCTTAGGAGTTTAGGGTTTCGGGTTTAGGGTTTAGGGTTTAGGGTTTAGGGTTACCGAATTGGGGGGGTGGGGGGTTAGGGGGGGGTCGGAAGCTTGAAGCAGCAGCCTGAAGTCTCTCTTCAGTTCCGCCCTAACCCCTGACCCTGACTGCCCGAAATCCCTGAAGACTCCCTGGTTCTTCGTAGGGAATGAGGGAATTGGGGCCCTAAACCCTAAACCCTAAACCCTAAACCCTAAACCCTAAACCCTAAACCCTAAACCCTAAACCCTAAACTACACCCTTTAAGGGACTATATAGGGAACCTCATTCCAAGAACCAGCCAGAAGGCTCAAGCTCCTCCGAGGAGGGGCTGATTGTTCGGACAAAGGATCAGAACTCCCCCCTAGTGCTAAAAGGTTTTGGGGTTTAGGGTTTTGGGGTTTAGGGTTTAGGGTTTAGGGTTTAGGGTTTGGGGGAGGTTTTAACCGGGGGGGGGGGGGGGGGGGAGCGTAATATTAGGGGGGGGAGGGATTATACCTAAAGCCCTAAACGTCTCCATTATAGCAGGTCGGGGATGAAGTATGCTTTCGTCTGTCGCAAAAACACGCCGTGGCTCTCTAAACCATGACCCCGCACCCCTCCTGAGAAAAAGACAGAAGCTCGTCAAGCGGAAGAAGACCGGGAGCGGGAGAACAAAATGTCAAAGCCTGGAGCTGCGATTCGGAAACCACCGGCCATGCTGGTCTGTGAAAAGAAACTCTCGGGCTCTAGAAGCACCCTCTAGCCGGTAGCGCGACACTGCTGGGGCATGGGGTTCATGGAGTCCATCGATATCCGGCCTACCCAAATGCTAAAATCTCAGGCTTTCAGCTCGGCTCCATGGACCGTCAGCACGTGGCAAAGCACCATGTGCATGTGCCTCAGCTGTGTGCTAGGTCTTCCAGGGTTTAGGGTTAGGGTTGAGGCGTCTTTTTGTGGTTTGGGGATGCACGCTTTCTTATGCAAACTCTCCTTGAGAACAGACCGTGAGTTCCGTTGATGGAGGAAATCTTGCACCACGCCTGCTCCGTTGGCTTCAATGTTAACATAGGGGTTTAGGGTGGTATAGTATGAGGGTACTAGGGTTTATTTAGTGTAGTAGAGAATGACGGCACTAAGGTTTTTAGGGTAGTATAGTATGAGGGTACTAGGGTTTATTTAGGGTAGTAGAGTACCAGAGTATTGGGGTTTAGGGTAGTATATGTATGAGGGTACTAGGGTTCAGGGCTTAGGGTTGCTGGTGGGGGTTAAGAGCGGGACCTTGACCTCTGAATGGCCAAAGCAAGGACCGGGACCTGAGAAGTCTGGATACCAAATGCATCGCTAAACTTTCGCCCTAAACCCTAAACCCTAAACCCTAAACCCTAAACCCTAAACCCTAAACCCTGAACCCCTTGGCTTGGAAGGTCGGCTTGAGCGAGCACGACTTCGCAAAGTACATTGAGGATCCATGGGTTCAAGGGGGGACCCGGCTGAAAGGGTTTAGGGTTTAGGGTTTAGGGTTTAGGGTGCAGGGTTTAGGGTTCCCCCAGCTTTTCAAACCCCTATGTCCGTATTCCTTGAACTCTCTATGAACCCTAGAAACCCAAGACGAAGGAGGGCGGGGGGGGGGGGGCGGCGCTCAACCCCCCAAAACCTACAAACCCCAAATGCCTCCTTGACAGGAGATCTTGGTCCCTGCTCTCACGCCCGCTGCGTTGCTCAAAGCATCCTCCTTGCGACCGGAGGCTGCGACTTGGGGCATTATGGGCTTCATGGGTCTATAAGGGTTGGAGGCTGTAGAGTTTAGGGTAGCCAGAAGCCTGTAGGGTTTAGGGTAGCCAGAAGCCTGTTGCGCAAAGAGGGTTTGGGTTCAGGTTTTCAGGTCCTGGTCTAAACCCTAAACCCCAAACCCCAAACCCGAAACCCTAAACCCTGAACCCTGAACCCTAAACCTTTCGCAGGTCTGCTCGGGGCTCATGCTGGGATGGTTGGGCTGTGGGGCCGGCCAGCAGTCATGTAGCGACTGGGATAGACTAGCAAAAGCCGCAAAACCCCTAAAGGAACCTGGAGCAGCAGCCCGAACCCCAAACCCCAAACCCTAAGCCCTAAACCCCAAACCCTAAACCCCAAACCGTAGTAGACTGGCTGCTTATGCAGATTCTGGGAGCGAAGGACTAGACCGAATCGACCCTAAACCCTAAAACCTTAAACCCTAAACCCTAAACCCGAAAAGTCAAGGTCAGCATCCTGGCAGTGGACGCAGAGGGCTTTGACGATGTGATCGTGCCCCAGAGGATGCTTCAGAAACCCTGTTAGGGTTTAGGGTTTAGGGTTTAGGGTTTAGGGTCTAGGGTCTAGGGTTTAGGGTTTAGGGTTTAGGGTTTAGGGTAACCTTACCTGAAGAACCTATTTGTGTTGTAGGTTCTTTTTCTAAAGCCGCTTATCGAACTCTTGGGTAACCCACAAAAATTAAAAAGTGGGTTTGGGGTTCTTCAGGTATTTAAAGCTAAAGATTGTTGCCAGGACTAAGTGGTCGTCTAGGGCGAACGTGTACTGTGCACACCCCTACACATCTACTGCAACGTAATGCTCTTCAATGGCATGTAGCTTCGTTGTGACACAACGTGGTGTCTGCTGATTCGGCTAATGACTGTTGCGCGCATGCATATGCGACCATATTCGTTGTGTACAGTTAAATACATGCACACAAATCCATGCATGTATGATCCCTAAACCCTAAACCCTAAACTATATATGAGACGCGGTCAAAATCACCGCTTGCTTACTTTAGTAGAGGGGGTAGTTGTTGCTGCAAAACGCCGAGGATCGAGAGGGGACGCACTAAAATTATAGGGATATTTGAAACGATAGGATAAAAGTGCGGTAGGTGCAAAAAAAAAACATGGAAAACGATGGGGGCGCGCCAACTCAAAAACAAGCAAGGCTTAAACACGTAATTTTGACGCCGACTCGCGCGTGTGTATATATATATACATATCAACCCTAATCCCTAAACCCTAAACCCTAAACCCTAAACCCTAAACCCTAAACCCTAAACCCTAAACCCTAAACCCTAAACCCTACGTCCTTTACGTGCCTTATCTTAAGTTTCGAAGGTACGGGCCTTCCTGCAGCTTCCGGGTTTCGAGCCCAGGCTGCTCTCGGGGCTTGCCAGCCATGTCGAGGGCTCTCGAGTCTTTTGGGGGGTTTAGGGTTTAGGGTTTAGGGTTTAGGGTTTAGGGTTTAGGGTTTAGGGTTTAGGGTTTAGGGTTTAGGGTTTAGGGTTTAGGGTTTAGGGTTTAGCAGAAAATGGTTTAGGGTTTAGGACGTTTAAGGTTTTAGGGTTTAGGGCTTAGGGAGCCGACCACTTAGACAAATTGTCTGACTAGTTCGGCAAACGCCGACCATCTGAAGGCAAATTCCGCCCACTTGGGCCATGAAGGCTTATGTACCTATCAAAGGAGGAGTTAATTGGGGCGTTGAAGCTTTCAGTGGGGATTGGGAGATTCTTTGGTCCTTGTTCGGGTGCTTTGTGGGGGTCAGAGTTTCTGTGTGAGCTGGATCGAGCCGGAAGGCCTGCGACAGCCTGGTACGAAAACTGGGTTCAGGGTTTAGGGTTTAGGGTTTACTAAAACTGGGTTTTGGGATGTATATGAGCCTTCGATAATGTGTGCGTGAGTGTTTACTTTTGGACACGCAGGCTCGGGGTGCTGAGTTCAGGAAGGTTTTGGATGCATTTGCGTGTTGAAAAGGGTCCAGGGTCCGGGGAACCTGGAATGTTCCACCGCCTTGAGCGATATTCCTGCCCCGAAACCTCCATGTTTCACTACTTGCCCAGTGCTGGGATGTTGAGGGGCCATGCGTGTGATTAGGAAACTGGGTACCCTATAGTATAGACCCCCACACTACAGGTTCCCCACACCTTCAAAGCTGCACACGAGTTTAAGGCTCGGATAGCTCACCCAAGAAGGCCTGCTGAAGACCTGCCGCAAACTCAAAAAAGTTGGAACATCCTCATCCCATCCCCCAAAATTTTCCTAAAGAGAATCCTAGCCAAAAGGCTGCAGGCTTCAAGGGCCTTGGTGAAAATACATTTATCGCAAGTGCGTTCAAACCATCAATGATTACATTCAACTGTGTTGTTTGGATTTGTGTTTCTTGGCAAAGGAGCAAACTGACCACAACACCCAAACTTTAAGCTGACAGTCACAAAGTTAATCCACCTACGACAGATCACCTACCCAACATGAATATCGAACAAAAATGCATCCCCGCTTTGTAATACAAGGTGATGTTATCAGATTAGCGCAAGCAGTTTAAGCATTTCACTGAAGCCACAGAAAAAAAGTTGACATACCACCAGGAATTGTCTGTTTCGTTGGTGGTCCATAAGTGTTGACAGCAGCAATGCCGTTCCCTCTATCAAGCTCAATAGCCTGATCATGATACTGTTTAGGAGTATCTCCTCAAGAATGAGTATACTGAACATCCAGTCAAATGGTACATGAAGCATGTCTGCAGAATGCAAAGCCTAAGCTCTTTTCCGTGCCTCGGACTGGCCTCGTGCATGCTTGAGCCACCGTAGTGGCGGGTGCCCGGAGGTATCCACTGCACACATGATGAGCAGCATAAACTGTTCTTCAATTCACACCCCCGCTGTGTGGTGGATGCCTTCTAAGGGTCCAAAAGCAGTAGACTGCATACTCCTATCATAACGCAGTCTGAGTGATGATTGTTTAAAACAACTCACTACTGAGCACTGCAAACCCTGGGCCAAAATCAAAAACATCTTGAGAGCATCAAACGTCTATTGACGACTCCAGCTCTCGATTAGCCGGCTCAACTGTTTGTAGTTGTCTTACTTCATGTTGTTCCTTTCGTCCGGACACCGTGCAGTAGGTAATGCGGATGAGGGTATCTTCAAGGACCTTCCGCACTGCATCAACTTGTGCACCAGAAGTACTTAATTTTGTGAGACCATCTGCCAACATATGAGAACCGTTCACCCAGAATGTCTGGAACCCGTAATCTACGACAAGGTCAAAAAGGATTTGGTATACAAGTGATTGCATTTTGACGCCCTGCCTGGTGGAGGGTTTCTCGGTTTGAATCGAATCGTATAAGCCTCGATTGTCCGTTACTAGAGCCCGAACAACCCGGCCGCCAGTTAGCTTATTCTTTACCTGCTTCGCTTTCAAACCGAAAAACACTTGCTCATACAGGAGCATTAGGTTTATGGCAGCATCTGTTGAAATCGTTGCTGCTTGTAGTTCTGACGCGTAGCTTGACCACACCGCCCGGTCGATCTTGCAGCTCGAATAATCCGCTAAGACTGCTCGAACCTCTCTACCACTCAAAACCTCCTTAGGGGCCCAGAAAATCACGGTACCGGATTGAGAGTGACCAGAAGGCCGTGCGGTGTGGCCGGCATCGGAAAATACCACCAGCGTCAGATCATCCCAACTTTCAGCTACCTTTGCGAACGTGATGCTGTAGTCGCGTGCTTGTAGCGTTCTGACGATCTTGTTCAACGAGACGAGATGTTGTTTCTCGGGACGGGAACCATAAGAGGCAAAATGAGAGACATCATACGCGACATCCGGTCTCGTGTTGACAGCAACCCAAAGCAAAGCTCCGAGCTGAGACCAATACTGTGTTTGGCCTTCCTTGTTCAACGGACCCTCTGCCAGCCTACGAGTGGGAACCTCCTTAAGTTTAGCGACGTAATGGGCTTGGTCTATTGCAATTTCACGAGTCTGCGGGTGTTGTTTTACATTCAACCCAGTATACAGGACAGGCGCCATGTCAGCGTACTTTCGTTCCCCGAAGGGAAGTCGCGCCACGAGCTTAGCCATCGCCTCTTCGAATCTGGGATCAACACTAGCCGAACAACCCGCAACTAAAAGATCATCTACGTGAGCACCTACTATTCCTAGAACCCTTTCTTCGCGACGAAACACATAAACACATCTGTCAGCCGGCACCTGTTCGAACCCACACTTTTCAAGCTCTGAGGTTAAACGCCTATACCATGCCAACGGGGCTTCGCTCAAACCATATGGCACTTTCTTTATCCTTGCTATAACATCGGCGTCCCCTCCTAGCTCTTCAACAAGGTCCCTGGGTAACTCTGTGTATATGGGTTTGGTGCGTGAGGTCTTATCTCCTGCGAGGAAAGCTGTTTTAGCGTCTAGCGTGAACACTCGGTATTGGAAATGACTTGCTAGAGTAAAGATGGCGTGTCGACCTTGCCTGGACAAAGTGGGACTAGCAGTGCTAAACTGACCCAGATCTGGATCTCTAAAACCTCTAATCACCAACCTGGCCTTAGCTTTAGCCCCCCCAGGGCCCTGATACACTTCACCGGGAACCGTCTTCCAAGTAAGAACCCAACGGGAAGCAATCACACGCCTAGGGTCAACGCCATACCTACTTACAAGCTCTACAACATCATTACTAATCCACTGTGACCACTCAGCAGCCTTGGCTGCCCGAAACATTTCCTTCTCCTCTGGTGTGAGGTGGCGCTCAGAAACTTCCACCGCCCGCTTCCTAGCCATAGACGCATTTAAGGCCATCTCTCGCACAAGATAGCAAACTGACATTTCGTCTTGTATCTCGTCTAAAGCAACATCGAAAGACAAGCCGATGGACGTACCCTCATAGTCATGTTCTTGAGACTCAGAAAACCAAGCTTCCAAAGAATGGTCCGAAGGCAAACCCTGAAAATCGGAAAACGCAAGGAAACTACCCGCGCGAGGTGGAGGCGATCGACTACGGTGCCTGGGTTGTGACTCGAGACCGGTGCGCACTGTTTGAGGCACTTCGGTTTCGCGCGGAAGCAGCGCGTCCGAAGCTGAAGGACCGAACACAGACCGAACGCGAGACATCTCCTCCACAGCGTTATGATATTCAGGTGTGCGTTTCGTACCTCTATCCCCCGCTACCTCATCGCCTGTCCCTGCTGCTGGAGCCGGGACCTCACCGCCAGGCGGCGTAGGGTTATCCTCTGGCACCAAAGGTGCAGGAGGAATTGCAGAACCGCTCGGTTGTGACGGCATTGGCGGTGGCTCGGCTGAGCTTACAGTGGGGCCTAAACGAGGGGTAGCCGGTATAGGGGTACCAGGAACGGGAGTACTGGGAAGTGTAGGAGGAGCTTGAGGATAAGGGTCGTATTCTGCTTCACTCTTCAGGTCTTCTATGACCACGGTGGATGCTGGTTGCTCATGTTCTTGTTCAAGTTCCGCAGAGCTAGGCCGTTCATTGCGGACATCGATACCACGAGCCTTACGCATCTCACTAAAACCGCGTTGCTGAGCTAGACCTTCTTCACGAAGCTTCTGCATGACCCATTCCGCTTTGGTGCTAACCGGCCGCAACTGTTCAGGACTACACAGAAAGAGTCTACCATGAACCGTCACATACACTACCCGTGGGACTAAGCGGTCATTGGTACTTTCAACAGCTATGACTTCGCCAGGGCCTAGCCAAACACCGTGTCGGCCCGGGTTAGCCGCGTCTCCCCTTCGACGTCGGTAGACAAGTACCACCTGACCCGCATAGTATGGACCTTTATACGGCCTAGACCGTGTTGACATGACTCGGGAAGTGCGGTCCCTGACTTCTGACTGAACCCAAGCTGTCCGAGCGGCAACTCTCCTCAACATCATGGTTTCATACAAAGGATCAGTACCTTGCAAACGCTCTGCCAAAAGCCTGAAGTCCTCATCCCCTTCAGCAAAAGTTGGCGGTGCCCTCGGAAGCTTTCCAAAGACCAACACTGCTGGCGACACGCCCTCTACCCTCATCAGCTCATTTCTTGCCTGAACCACCTCTACAGCTGCCTCGTAAGCACTACAGCTCGGCTCTGACTCAAAAACCCGTTGAGACTGCTGCCGAAGAGTGCGGTGGAGTCGTTCAATCTGGCCGTGCTGATGAGGTGCCTGCGCAGCCGACAGCCGCTCAACTACAGCGTGCCTAGTAAGGAAACTAGCGAAAGTCTCTGAGCGGAAAATCGTATCCGGATCTGCATAGATGTACTCAGGCGCGCCATAGGACTCCAGCCACCCCCGCTTGAGGGCCTGGACGGCTGCCGCGGCATCGCCGGACGGCAAGTAAAAGACACGAGCAAAAGAAGTAGCAGTGTCGATGGCG